CACTCTCTCTCTTTCTCTCTCTCTCTCTCTCTCTCTCTCTGTCTCTCTCTCTCTCTCTCTCTCTCATTTCTCTTTCTTCTCTCACTATCAGTCGGTCTCTCTGCTTCTGCATAAACAGCTTGTATCTACAAAACATAATAACACATAGAAATAAACACATTATAGCGATACCAGTGCCCCCTACACTCACCTAATGGACATCCCTCGCTGGGACCGGAAAGAGACCTCACGAAGTTGAGACACTTCACTCGACCTTGGTAGTATTGGTCGCTAGATGGCACTGCGATCGTGAAGCATTCCGCACTCGTATCGTCTGCGCAACAATCCTCCGGAACTCCCTCCACTACAGAGAGATAGGGGGCGCCATGATAGCATGATCGGAGGGGGAGGTGGCGGAAGGGGAGAAGGGGAGGCGAGAGGTAGGATAAGAATAGGATGCGAGGGTGGGAGAAGAACAGGAGGTAGAGATAGGAGAAGAAGAGAAGGAGGTGGTCGGAGAAGAAGAAGAAGAGGAGGTCAAGGTGTGGAGAATAAGAGGAGGTGGAAGTGGGAGAATAAGAGAAGGAGGTGGTGGGAGAAGAAGAGGAGGTGGAAGTGGGAGAAGAGAAGAGGTTGAGGTGAGCGAGAGAAGGAGTGCGTAAGTACAGAATTCGTGTCGATTATTTCGTGCGAATAAGGGACCGCTTACCTCCCGCCCACGTTGGTGTCAGTGTGATGTCATGATCCACAAACTGTCCCCACTGCATCACCATGAGCGACATAGTCCGACTGGGGGCGTCAGTGGTGCCGTGCACGGCCTCACTGACGTCACGGGCGGAGGGCAGGGTCTGGCTGCTGGCGGACTGTGATGTACGTCTGGGTTCGCTGACTGAAGACAGATGCACGAGTTTGTTACCATAGCAACGAAACACAAGCGGAAGCCATGATAAACATGAACATGAGACATTAATCACATCAGACATCAGACAGGAAATATAATGGTTGAGTGTTACTAGCTGGAGAGCGTTTGAGTTGGGGTCGTAGGTTTGCGGTAGCTCAGGATTAAGTCACGCGGTATTGACTGGTGGTGCCCTTTATACCCGCCATTATACAGCTCATATTCTTACTTCCATCATCGTACGCGTTGGTACCGAGCATGCGACGTAGATTCACAAGCGCTGATCCCCAGTTCGGGTTTGCCTTGTTGTTACACTCGCCACTAGCAGTGCGAAACTTGTCTGCCGCGTTGCAAGTAATGTCCGCTAGGGGGCAGGTGTCTGCAAGTCTTGTAGTGGCCGTGCTCGTATCAGCCAGTTGCTCCACGTCCGCATCCGACAGATGTAGGCTGTCAACATATACATGTATGTATATATTTATATATTGTGTGTGTGTATATATATATATATATATATGTATATATGTTTAGCAGTGGTACTTACTCGTTCTTGATGATGCGCGTTGCTCTAACAGCAGCCTCGGCCGTTACTGCTCTACTATATATATATATGTGTGCATGTGTGTATATATATATATGTATATATATGTGTATATATGTTTAGCAGTGGTACTTACTCGTTCTTGATGATGCGCGTTGCTCTAACTGCAGCTTCGGCTGTTACTGCTCTACTCGCTGCCTTACTGCTAGCTGGGTTGAACGCCGCCTGGCGGCGACTGCTGCTGCTGGAAGATGCTACCATCACAATATCACAATCAATCAATCATGCAATCGCTATTGACTATTATTGATGAATACAAATTGCACACCGCGTGTACACCCGCGTCTACAAAACATATTTATACGTTTGATATGATTATTATCTGTCATTCAACTAAACTCATCAAACATATCTATTATAATATTGTATATATATTATAATATTTAATATCCAGAGAGAAAAAGGTAAGAACAGCTATAGATCTCGTCTGCTCTTTTCACGACGTAAACAACGTATACTGCTACACGCAACCACTCCGCGTGACGTCACTGATCAATAATCTATCGATATCGGGGATCAATGACGTATCTAATATTGATCACCTCCTCCGGTCTCCCTGCGTCGTTCGCCTGCTAGCTGATCGAAGGCCGTCTCTACGGAGTCTATCAACACTTTCTGACGCACGCGCAGCTGTGCCGATGATGATGGCGATACCAACAACAACAGCAGCAGCAGCAGTAGCAGCAGTAGCAGCACGGCCGGCCTGCAGAGCAACAGCAATAACGGCGATTGTGAAGACGGCGACGACGACGACGACGACGACGAGGAGGAGGAGGAGGAGGAGGAGGAGGAGGAGGAGGAGGGGGAGGAGGTAGTGGCGGAGGAGGATGAGAGAACGACTTATGACAATAATAAGTAGCAGTAGAGGAAGAAGAAGAAGAATACAACTAATTATAACTCATGTATCACATTATGATATACAGAGACTCCCCGACTTACGAACATGTTCGTTTCCGAGCGGTCGTTTGTAAGTCGATTTGTTCGTAAGTCGAACATATGTACGTACGTATACAGTATTGTACAGTAGTGTAGTATATGTACGTGTGAACATCGAGTAACCTATAAGATATATACTTAACGATAGAATGCCTATATCTTACATAATACTTACGAATATATACTTAACGACTACGACATGGCTACTATTCTTACCACTCAATAGCTAATGATAGACCCATGCCTATACCTCTCACACTACCCCCCCACACAAACATCACCTTACGAATATATAGCTGTACTACCACCGCGGCCCGCGGGGCACCGCGGATAGAATGCCTATATTTACACAATACCTTACACATATGATACTTAACGCGGCGATCAGAACTGCCCCCCCATAATCCTTCTACACCAATACTTACCATACCACTACTCCTCCAACCCGATAGAATCCCCCCCTATCACTCTTACCATAATACTCCCCTACACCCCATATACCTACTCATCATGCACTCCGACATGCCTTACTAATCCTCTATGACCACTGGCACCCCGCCACAGGTCTTACAGAAGTAGAAGCACAAAGGAATAAATACTTCAAGATGATAATAAAAAGCACAGGCTGTACACCCGCGCCTGCATGTAGGCTGCAGTGGTTGGTGGCACTGCCCCGAAAATTTTGAATGGTAGCGTCTGGAGATGCAATCTGGTGAGTCTTGCGAGAGAGATTTAGGAACAAATGTAGGAACAAATATGTTTAACCGGCCAAAGTTACTGGAAGCACTGTGCTTCAGTGCTTCTATCTGCGGCGCCACCTGCTTATACAATACTTACACATATATAATTTACAATAGAATGCCTATATCTTACACAATACTTACATATTATTAATAACTTTGCGATAGATGCCTATATCTTACATAAGTATACTTATTTCTCTTAGATAAATTGCTAATATTACACAATACTTATATACATATTATATTCATGACATAATATTAAAGGAGCTAATAAATACCATATATATCAATATATAAATATCGTAATATATATACATATTCAATATCTTATTACACATATATATATACCTTACATACGAATGCATATTTATATAACGATAGTTGTACGTGCGTAGGATAACATGTCTATTCGTGCACACTATACACGAGGGTTCGTAGCGGGTCTTCCAAAGTCTTATAAGTACTTTTTTGCCAAAAATAAAATAAGGGCCCTTATTAGTACTTATTTTTGGTAAAATCTTTAGAAAAGTACTTAATAGTCCTTATTTTCGACCTTACTGTTCTCGACTAGAATAAGATTGTTGTATATATATAATAGGATAATTAAATCTGCTGTGCAATTGTGTATATAAATATTATAGTGTACTTTTAATAGTCGGTGGTCTATCAGAAATCACGTAAAAACGTCTTATATTGGCTCCAGAAAGGGTCTTATAAGTCCTTATTTCAACATGTGTCTTACTACTATGACCCTGAAACACTTACTTTATAATATCGCGCTGAGGTGTCATCTTCAGATATTTCTCTCACGATTTCGATGACTTGCTACTGATGTCTGTCGTGCGTTCTTCTTACTGCGTCTATATCCACACATTAACCGCTGCAACACCTCCCCTAATAGCCTGCACGCTTCAATGCGTCTCTTGGGTAGGTCGGTCTCGCTCTCCTGCTCGCGCTCTGTCTCTTCTCTCGCCTGCCACTCGCCGTTAAATACTTCACACCCGTGACGTACGATTCGCGATGTCGTGTCATAAAAAATGACGTTACCGCACCTATGTGGTTTCTGGCCGTCTGCGCCACAAGGCACTTGAAGCGTTTCAATTAAAATATATGCTAATAATACGAAATCTATTTACTACAAAATTCTTAATGTTTCTATACTCTCTTTCACCTATTAATATTTATTTCGCGCGACAGTTTCCTGTAATATCATCGTTACCGCACCTATGTTGCTTTCTGGCCGTCGGCCGCGCCGACCCGGCGGCAACCTTCTTCGTCCCCCCCCGCGATGTCTGTCTATCACGCACGCACCACACCACGCACCGCACCGCCGGCGCATACCACTCGCACACACACACCGCGCGAGCACACCCACACACACACACCAACACACATACGGCCACGTGCACACCCACACACGCGCACACCCAATAAAATATTAAACAAATGACGTACCGCACTATGTTCGTTCCTGGCCCGTCTGCGCACAGACGACTTGAAGCGTCAATAATATAATGCTAATAAATACGAAAATCTATTTACTACGAAATTCTTAATGTTCTATACTTTCTTTCCACTATTAATATTATGCCGACAGTTCACCTGTAAATTCTCATTACCGCACCTATGTTGGTTTCTGGCCGTCGGCGCGCCGACCCGGCGGCAACCCTTCTTTCCCGTCACCCCGCGATGTCTGTCTATCACGCACGCACACACGCACGCACGCACGCACGCGCGCATACACTCGCACACACACACGCGCACGAGCACACACACACACATACGCGCACGTGCACACACACACGCGCACACACAATAAAACATTAAACAAATGACGTTACCGCACCTATGTTGGTTTCTGGCCGTCTGCGCCACAGGCACTTGAAGCGTTTCAATAAAATATAATGCTAAATAAATACGAAATCTATTTACTACCAAATTCTTAATTTTCATACTCTTCTTTCACCTATTAATATTATTGCCGACAGTTTCCTTGTAAATTCATCGTTACCGCACCTATGTTGGTTTCTGGCGTCCGCGCGCCGACCGGCGGCAACCCTTCTTTCCCGTCACCCCGCGATGTCTGTCTATCACGCAACGCCACACGCACGCACGCGACGCACTGCACGCACGCAGCGCATACACTCGCACACACACACCGCCACGACGCATCAACACAACACACATACGCGCACGAGCGCACACACAATAAAACATTTAAAAAATGACGTTACCGCACCTATATGTTGGTTTCTGGCCGTCTGCGCCACAGGCACTTGAGCGTTTCAATAAAAATATAATGCTAAATAAATACGAAATCTATTTACATAAAATTCTTAATGTTTCTATACTCTCTTTCACCTATTAATATTATTGCCGACAGTTTCCTGTAAATTCATCGTTACCGCACCTATGTTGGTTTCTGGCCGTCCGCGCGCCGACCCGGCGGCAACCCTTCTTTCCCGTCACCCCACGATGTTGTCTATACGCACGCAAACACACACGCACACACGGCAACACACAACGCGGGCCGACGCACGGCACGACACACACACACACACCACACACACGAACACCACACACACAATCACCGCGCACACCACACGTCACACGCACGACACACACACGTGTCACTGCCTTTTATCTACCGCGTCGCAGCCATTTTCACTGAAAATTAATAACGCTTCATCCAGAATGGATGCAAGTCATCGCCGCAATTCAGTAACGAGATAGAAATCAACTTCTGGGTGTTGCGTCGTGGCGCGCTATGGCCCCTACAGAGAAGACATGAGTATTGGGCAAGAAGAGAAACAATCATAAGGCTACTTACAAACAGGTTTTTGCTGCTACTGTCCGACAAGATTTTGTAAGTAGATCGTCACGTTTCTTTACGACGGGAGCGCTGGAAGAATCTCAAGAGCATTGTACAAGGTCACCGTCAGCCGAGAAGAGGAGAAGAGAGAGAGAGAGAGAGATAGAGAGAGAAGCGAGAGAGAGAGCGAGGAGAGAAGAGAGAGAGAGAGAAAGAGAGAGAGAGAGGAGAGAGAGAGAGAAGAGGAGAGAGAGAGAGAGAGAGAGGAAGAGAGAGAGAGAAGAGAGCATGATGCGCTGATCTCTTCCCCTCCCTCTCTCTCTCTCTCCTCTCTCTCTCTCTCTCTCTCTCTCTCTCTCTTCTCTCTCTCTCTCTCATCCCTCTTCTCTCACTCTCTCTCTCATCACTCTCTCTCTCACCTCTCTCTCCGTCTTCACGCTCTCTCTCTCTCTGTCTCTCTCTCTCTCTTTTCTCTCTCTCTCGTCCTCTCTCTCTGCTCTATCTCTCTCTTCTCTCTCTGCCTCGCTCTCTTCTCTCTCTCTCTCGGCTCTCTCTCGCTCTCGCTCTCTCTCTGCCTCTCTCTCGCTTCATCTGCTCCTCGCTCTCTCTCTTTCTCTTCTCTCTCTCTCTCTCTCTCTCTCTCTATCTCTCATATGCATTCTCCCTCTCTCATCTCTCTTCTCTCTCTCTTCTATTTCTTCTCTCTCTCGCTCTTCTCTCTCTTCTCTCTCTCTCTCACGATCTCTTCTCTCTCCTCTCTCTCTCTCACTCTCTCTCTCTCTCTCCGACGGCTCTCTCTCTCTCTCTCTTCTCTCTCCTCTCTCTCTCTTTCGTCTCTAATCTCTCTCTTTCTCTTTTTCTTCTCTCTCTCTCTCTCTCTACTCTCTTCTCTCTCTCTCTTCTACCTCTATCTCTCTCTCTCTAGTCCTCCTCTCTCTCTTGTCCTCTTTTCCTCTCTCTCTCTCTCTCTCTCTCTCTCTCTCTCTCTCTCTCAATGCTCACCTTTAATTGTCCTCCAAATTCTCGTGCGATCCATTCTCAACCTACAGCTGCTTCCCATGATTATGCACTTACTGCGACTCCACGATTAAATTATGCACAATTACTACATCCTCCGGATGACGAAAGATGATGACGGAAGACGAAAAAACACAAAATTACGCACGCACGCACGCACGCATTACAGATCATAGAAACTATCCCTGCACTCGGGTATGTTATCTCCAATACAACAACCAGCAAGCTTTTTTTAGTGGGGATATATAGTTTGATTGATATAATGACTAGCAGCATATAATAATAGTTATATAGATGTGATAGAAGATAGTCACCATGGCAACCTTGAATCTAGGGGCTGACGCGTGAGGGAGCATAATAGCACGCAATTATTGCAGTGGTTGAATAAGCGTCTCGCGTCGGTAAGCAGTCTTGAGGAACGTTGTTATAAACATCATGAATAGATATGGCTCTTAATTTAGACGTTTTCTGTTATGCCAAAAAAGTTGCCTACGAATTTTTGTTGGACCCATGCACATTCTCTTTGAATTTGTGGTGGCTATTTGCTATAATTAAATATGGCTATAATTAAAAAGCTATTATTAATGACTATAATTAAAAAGTCAACAAATACAGAGATACAAAGTGATGCACAATTAACGTGACATAGATTTTAATAAGCAAGTGTATTACTATTAACACCATATTTAGACAAAATACTTAAATAGTGGCTCGTTGACGATAGTAGACGATTTCCATATTTATTTATTTTGCTCGGTTTTGCGATGTTTATATGTATACTGTGGTGTTTTCCAAACGAAATATTTACATAGACGGAACAAAATAAATAAATAAATAAAAAATAAAGTAAAATACCAAATGTGATGTAATCGAGTGATGTTCGGCACTGGATGCTAATTTTTACTCAGTGTTGCGTTTATTCTAGTGTATTATGGGATAGTTATGGATGAACCCGAGCTCTGACCCGAGTATGGAAGTAGAACGGTAGAAGGTCAGTATTGTTTTTATGTTCGAATATAGGTTTTCGATATAGATTTATGCCAATTTCGCCACACTATGGTCATGGCCATTAAATAAAGATGCCATATGTTATGTTATTGTGCGATAGATCGTGAAGATCTCGTCTGTATGTCGTGTGAAAGTCTTTGTTTACATATTTCGAAGCTGTTTTCTCTCGTGGTTGGGAGCAGCTGACGCAGTCACGCGACGAGTAAAAGAATTCGATCTACTTCTAACACAAAAATTTATACATTAGTTGTGAATAATGAAATGTTTTACTTAAGATAGATCCTTCTCCGAACTAATTCGGACCAGATACATTTTATATTGCATTATCTGTCGCTCCTGTCATGGACATGGGCATAATTTATAAATGACAAATAAAAATGAGGTCATCGTTTGATTTATTGCTGCTTGGCCTTTGTGCATTGATAGCACGTGTAACTTTGTCTCTGCGTGATCTCAGCAATATCGTAACGATGTATTTCTGTGGGAGCCCAGGTGAGAACACTCTACAACTTTGACGCTGCTCACAACGTTCTGATAGCTTAGGAAATTGTACATAATAAACAAGATGACGGATCGACTTCAGACCAGCTACCAGGCGATGGGGGTCGGGGACGATGATCTGAGCGCAGACTCCCCACACGAACGCTTGATCATGATCCATGAGGTGAGTTCTACTTACAGTGTTCCGTTTATTCGATTCTATATGGATTCAGTCGGTAATCGTCATATACTATCGAGACTGTTAAGCGATTTTTACAGTGCAGTGGTTACTTAAACTGGATCAAATTGAAAAATTATTTGTTAAAAGTCCTGCATGGCCCCTGACATGTATATGGTTGTGTTGATCACCAATTTAATCGGGTGGCAATGATTTTTAAGAAAGTGTTAGTGTCACTTTCCATGCTATCCAAAATAATGTGCACTAAATAGCACAAGATACTGATTGGGGGTTGTTATCTGTTAGTTGAATCTGGGGGCAGTTTACGAGTCTAATGAAGGAAAATCGTGTTAATCTTGCTAGTGGATCAATGCTGTGTCTTAACGTCTCGTACGATCGTTTCTTAGGTTCCGGAAAACAACAAGTCGAGGTGGAACCACGTTGAGGACTTGGATGAGTTTTTCACAAGAGTCTACAGGTGTGTGAGGGGATATATCCTACTTTATTATCCCCCTTCATAGCTACGTGACGGGGTTAGAACTAGGGATAGGTATAAGTTAATGTTAGGGCTAGATTTGGGCTAGCATTATTATAGCATTATATTTCTCCTCCCCTTTCTCTTACTCCTCCACCCCCTCCTCCTCATGCTCTTTCTCACTCCTCTTACTCCTCCTCTTTCTCCTTGCAGGTACCACCAGAAGAATGGCTTCTTCTGCATGATGCTACAGGAGGGACTGGAGCTCGTACAGTTTGCCTTCGTCGTTCTCTTCTCCCTCTTCCTCCTCGGCTGCGTCGACTACAGCCGCCTCCACGCTGGCGACCACACCCACGTCAACGTCACCATCTGGGACGCGGTCGTCCCCGGCAACCAGTGCATGCGCAGCCTCAGCACCTGGGTGGTCGTGCTGCTGCTGGTGCCCGCCGTCGGGTTCTGGCTCCTGCAGCTAGCGAAGGTCGTCTACCACTTCTTCCGCTACCTGGAGATCCGTGCGTTCTACGCGGGAGCGCTGCGCATCGGGGCGGGCGACCTCGCGAGCATGACGTGGCACGAGGTGCAGAAGCGTCTGCTTGAGGCGCAGAAGACGCAGCAGATGTGCGTGCACAAGCGCGAGCTCAGCGAGCTCGACATCTACCACCGCATCCTGCGCTTCAAGAACTACTTCGTCGCCATGGTGAACAAGTCGTTGTTGCCGCTGCGGTACCGCGCGCCACTGCTAGGAGCCGACCTCGTGTTTCTAACGCGCGGACTCAAGTACAACCTCGAACTCATACTCTTCTGGGGTCCGTGGGCGCCGTTCGAGAACAACTGGCACCTCAAGGACTCGTTCAAGGACGCCAGGCGGCGCCACGAGCTAGCGGACTTTCTCGCGCGACGCATACTCTGGGTCGGCGTCGCTAACTTTGCGCTGTGTCCGCTCGTCTTCGTCTGGCAGGTTCTCTACATGTTCTTCAGCTATGGCGAGACCATACGGCGGGAGCCGGGCGCGCTGGGAGCGCGTCGCTGGTCGCTGTACGGACGCTACTACGCGCGACACTTCAACGAACTCGATCACGAGCTCGCGGCGCGACTCACGCGCGGGTACCGCCCCGCCGCACGCTACATGTCCATATTCACGTCGCCCGTCGCGACGGTGGTCGCCCGCAACGTGGCGTTCTTCGCCGGAGCCCTTCTCGTTGTTCTTCTCATCCTGACGCTGGCGCTGGAGTCGCACGTTCACGTGGAACACGAGCTGGCGTTGATCACGGCGCTGACTGTGGTCATCACGGCGTGTCGCGCCTGCATCCCGGACGAGAACATGGTGTGGTGTCCGGAGACGCTGCTGGGCATGGTGCTGGCTCACGTTCACTACATGCCGGACTCGTGGAAGGGGAGCGCTCACACGACGCGTGTCAGAGACGACTTCTCACAGATGTTCCAGTACAAGGTGCGCGGCCGAGGCTGCTGTGTGTATATATATATATGTATGTATATATATACATACATATATATATATACTGTATGAATGTTCACACATGCGTAATTGGTGTGAGTAAGGATGCTATATGTATATGTGTTGGCATAGCTATGTGTGTATATGTATAATATACATACATACACCATTTTTATGTTTTTACGTAAGCGATTGGAATTTACATATGTGGCTGTCAATTATCTTAGCAAGATAACAATGTCTTGGCCATTGTTGCATATATAGGTTAGTATATTTGATCTACAAATCTCTCTCTATATCTCTCCATCTTTCTCTCTTTCTCTTTCTACATTTCTCTTCTCTATCCTTCTCTAATTATCTCTGCATCTCTCTTTATCTTTTTGCACTGTCATTCTCTCTTCATCTCTCACCGTCTCTCTATCGCTCGTTCTTCTGCAGGCTGTCTTTCTACTAGAGGAGCTGCTCAGTCCGATCATCACTCCCATAATCCTCTGCTTCTCGCTGCGACACAAGGCGCTCGACATCGTCGACTTTTTCCGCAACTTCACCGTCGACGTCATCGGAGTCGGTGAGTCGTCACGGCAACGACGACGTCTCGTCAGATGATCTTCGCTTGCGTAATTTTCTCCAGACTTTCATGAAGGCGAACTTTCAGCTTGATTGTGGTTCAGTGTAGGTGTGCAGGGCTTTTCAGCAGTTCCTGACTCTGGTGTTTTCAGCAGCAGCGGTGCGTGTTTACCGTAGTTGTGGTCGATGTTCCCGCGTCAGTGTAGCTGGCTGCCTGTGTGGGTGCAAAGCATGGGTAGACTGTATGTTATATAAAGGTCATTTTAGGGAAAACCTAAAATTGTCATTAAATGCCATCATTAAAAATCAATTCGATTTCTAACTGCAGAAGTTTAGTTATTAGATAAATGACTATTAGACAGATCATTATTAGATGAATCACTACAGGCTTCGTCTTTTCACGCGGCCAATTGGCCCAAACACCGTAAACAGCCCCGTCTCCGGTGTCCACAGGTTTTTTTTTCTGGCCCTGTAAAATTGTGAGATTCCGAGAATCAAAAACGAAAATCAGCCCGTCTAGAGAAAATCAGCGCTGTTGAGTAAATGACGGCCTTTTTAGGGGCCCGTGGTTTTCTCAGGCGGCGAAGCCTGATCACTATTAGATCAATTAGGATTACAGTGGTAGAAATTAACTTTTGAACACGGGAGTCCAACGGACTCCCTACTCTCAAAAAGAGGGAGTCCGCAGCAAAATGAGGGAGTCCGCAGTCTGAGGTTCAAAATTAAAGATGTTAACAATAACGCAGGTGCTTATTTTTAAGATTCATGCGATTGCACGTCTGCCAAATTTTCTTTGGACATTAGCTGAAAAAATACGGTAATTCCGCGAGGCCGTGCTCCGGAACGAACTAGTTAGTATGACAGAATTTTTAGGGAGTCACGCGGACTCCTGCATATGTCAAATCAGGGAGTCCGACAGTAAATCAGGGAGAATTTGTCTCCGGACTCCCGTTAATTTTGCACCCTGGATTAGATAACTTACGTTTAGATAACTTACGGTAGTAACTGATGACAAATCTTCCATGCAGGTGACGTGTGCAGCTTCGCACAGATGGACGTTCGTCGTCACGGCAACCCGACGTGGGTGCCGGAGGGGCAGACGCAGGCGAATCACTATCAGCAGGCGGAGGATGGAAAGACAGAGCTCTCCCTCCTGCACTTCACACTAACGAACCCTCGCTGGAAACCACCGCCGCAATGTAACCTGTTTATCACCAGCGTGAAGGAGCAGGTACGTGTGTGTGTGTGCGTGCGTGCGTGTGTGAGTGCGTGAGTGCGTGCGTGCGCGCGTGAGTGTGCGTGCGTGCGCGCGTGAGTGTGCATGCTTGCCTGCGTGGGTGCATGCGTGTGTACGTGTGCGTGCGTGTGTGTGTGTGTGCGTACGTGTGCGCATGCTTGCATACGTTCGAGCACGCGTGGGTGCGTGCGTGCGTGCGTGTGTGCGCGCGTGCGTGCATGCCTGCGTGCGTGTGCGCCTGCGTGTGTACGTGTGTAGTGGTGACATGTTGAACTGACATGTCATGGCGTGACGCACATTGTACTGACGTATGTAACGCGTGTTGTCATCTATTGTTGCCTAGGTAACGCGGGACGTGAGCACGCTGCATGGACCTATTGCCGAGGAGACGGCTCTCTATCAGTCTCTGTACTCCATGTCGTCGCTGGGTGCTGGGTATCAGAGCCTCATGACGAGTCTTCAGCCACAGCTACAGTCTCGCCTCTTCTCAGATCGACCCATGGTCAGTATCGCACACACACACACACACACACTCTCTCCTTCTGTCTTTTTCTATCTCTCACTCTCTCTTCTCTCTCTCTCTGCTCTTTCTGCTCGCTCTCTCTCTCTCTCCTATCTCTCTCTCTCTCTCTCTCTCTCTCTCTCTCTCCTTTTCTCTCTCTCTCTGTCTCTCTCTCTCTCTCTCTCTCTCTCTCTCTCTCTCTCTCTTCCTCTTTGTCTCTCTCTTTCTCTGTCTCTCTCTCTCTCTCTCTCTCCCTCTCTTTTTCTCTCTCTCACTCTCTCTCTCTCTATCTCTCTCTCTCTCTCTCTATCTATCTCTATTAAGTAAATTTTCTAAAGATTTGAACTTAGGTGTCATATTTTTAGTTTGACAAGTTGTAGGTGTAACAAGGTCTGAAGTTTGGGTGACCTCTGCCCACTGCACATGTGCATGTGAGTTCTTCGGAGTTCTTCCAGGTTTCCCCCCAACCTTCACCTATCCGTCTCTCTCTCTCTCTATCTTGCAGGGTGCAGGCAGCATCTATCAGTCTCCCAGCCGCAGCAAGATGGCCGGTAAACCGCGCGGCGGCGTGTCGCGCGTCGAGGGGCCGCTAGAGGGCAGCACTAACGGCGTGATGGGCGCGGTGATGCAGGCGAGCGGAGCGGGAGCGATGGCAGCCAGTCACCTCATCACCGACGCCAGCCTCACGCTCAGCCAGAGTGGCGCCCCCTCCCAGCAGCCGGCCGAACCGGGGCTCCTGGCAGGTAAGCCTAACCCACGCCTACGCATGCCACTAGGGGGCGTCCTGAGCAGATGCATGGTTCTTATCATTAATGTGATTGTTTATCGTTGTCGGGGACAACGCGTGTGCTATTGCACGTATTTTGTCTACGACCGTTCCTCTATCTCTCTCTCTCTTCATGCTGTTTCTCATTTCTCACACTCTCTCTCTCTCTCTCTCCCTACAAGATGGCACAAAGTCGGACATGAGTCTGAGCGTTCTCTATCTGCACGAGCTTCACAACAGGAGGCGCCGCTACGGTGGTTACGAGGACATCGCTCCTATGGAACTGCATCTACAGCAGCGCAGTTCGCCGGACGCGCCCGCAGCTACAGAGGGCGCCACCGGGCAGGTACGCTGCAGGGCAGGGGGCGCTACCATTCATTGTTAGTGCAAAAGGGACGCTCAAGTGCTGGTAAAATTTCTAGAGCAACACGTGAGAATTGCGTAGCCGATAATGTAGTATCATTGCTAATTTACTGTATAAGCCGTATTTTTCGCGTACAGGCTTGACGGACAATTTCGCGAGTGGTTAATTTTGCGGTCGGGGACACGTTCGCGAAATTCGCGAAAATTAAACCACCGCGAAATACACAGCTTATACAGTACTCTTCCTCTCATTAACTTTTAATTGGTTACTCGATCGATGACATTGCTTCGTGGCCCCTCTGGTGATCAGTTCTCTAATTCACTAATTACTGCTAACTTAGGCAACAATTAAAAAAATCTTTGTTTGCCCTCACCCGACCCAGGCTGAAAAGTTTGGGTAGGTAGGTAGTTTTTTTTTTTTTGAGGGGGTCTTTTTACAAATTCAGCATGGTGTCTACATGTTCGGGTGTGCTTGGCCTGTGTGGGGATACCTTTTATGTTGAATGTTTCTTTTGCTTGGTACATATAATGTATTGCCTACAGATTTATATAATATACAGTGATACAATTTGTAAAAAAATGGGAAAAATCAATAAATTTGTTTGAGTCGGCCCCTTTTTGGCAGGTCGGTCGGGTGAGGGCAAACAAACAACATTTTTATTATGGCCTTAACATTTAGTCACTATTGTTAATTAATTCGCTAATTACTGCTAACTTAACATTTAGTCACTATTGTTAATTAATTCGCTAATTACTGCTAACTTAACATTTAGTCACTATTGTTAATTAAT